TTGTTTCATCAATTGTTAATGTTTGTACCACTCTTACACCCTAGCTTTCTCACAGCAAAAGCACCAAAAACAATGTTCAACATTTCTAAAAAATCATTAAATTTTCTTCGGTTTTAATAGCAAAATTTAATGCTAAGTCTCTGATACATTTTTCAAACATATCAAAAATTGACACTTGCAAGTAAACACATCTAACTTTCTTCACAACTGATGAGAGACTAAAAACTCAATGTAGCTACCATTGTATAGATGGGTTCGACATATGTATACTAATATAACTACGAAAAATTTTCCAAATTCGACTAATTTATACATCCCACAAAATATAAAATTTTGTGTAACTTTTTGTACAGACCTCATACCTTAAATTGTAGTGAAATATTTCCAAAATTACAGAATCATTTTATCACAGAAATATTGTGTTAACAGACATGAAATGTCTATTTATTTAAAAACAGACAAGCGAATATTAATTAAAATAGGGAATGTGATTTGGAGGATTCTTAATTATGTATAACCATCATATATTTAACAATAACGTCTTCTTCCTCTAAAACTCTTGAACAGGATTAAAACTTAAACTTTTCTTAACAATTATAGTGAACTGACTTCACTTAACAATCAAACCTCTGTTTAACCCCTACTTAAGTAGAGAGAGAGAGAGAAATACTTTATTTAAAGCAGTGTTGCCCTACTATATAAGGTTGCTCGATACACAGCATACTCATCAATCCTTTTTTTTGGACATACAAATTATATACAAATTCTTTTTCACATTACACAGCACAAACACAAAATAAGTTTGTTTATCCCCCAAACGTGCACCTAAGGCACAGGCCAACAGCAATGATGATTTCAACATTCATTAATAATTTTAATGGATTAGAAAACTTAAATGTGGAATAAAAATTTCTGTAGCTTATTGTTGCCAGCTAAAAAATGAGAAGTGCGCTCCAAGACAAATCTAATTGTATTAATCATGACATTTTTGATTAATAAAAATATCGAAAATTGAAATAAGCAACATCTGTAATCTTAAGAAGATCAAATATTTGCTATGAATTGTTGACAATTATTAAAACAATCTTAAGAAATGATATTGAATTATTGTGTAATAAAACCAAGTTATAAATTGAATATTGTTATTAACTTTAATTGCCATGGTTCTTTAAGATCACAACTGTTTAATAATAATAATTAGTTACCTGATAAAAATTTATAAGTTTTAATTACATTCAGTAGAAATATTATATGAGATAAATCTGAGGTATCCAATTTCATACGTTGCTCATTAGGTAATAAAGGTTTTTTGTAGTTAAATTAAAATATACTGATTGAAAGCCATATCACTGTCAAATCAAAACTAGCTAACTTATCAGTATCAGATAACAAATCTATTACAATTCACCTCTAAAAGTTTGAAGATTTGAACTTTGTGACAAAGCCATAGGAATCATCAACGAGCTTGAATTAAATATGGAACATTCTTGGTAAGAAGGCGGAAGTCGACTGAAGCCATCAATCATGGCTGTGGCAAGAATCCTTTTATCATTTTCAATTAAGAACAAGTGAGTCATTAGATAACGAATGAGTCAACAGGTTAAAAATAATTTAAAAAATGAAAAACCAGGAAAAGTGGGATAATTTCCAAGAAAATCTTTGGCAAGAGATTTCTTTGGATGAAAATACTGAATATATATACTTTTATAAAACAAACAACTCAGAGTTAGAGTATTATGAATTAAATAAGAAACACATGTCATATAAGTAATTAAAATTAAAGCTTAGAATGCTTTTTAAATAAATAAACACCTTTTGAAATAAATGAACACCTGAAAAATACTATTTACAATTAATTGTATCCAGAAAATTTCTCATTATTTAAGTAATGAGTAGGATTTTAACACTAACACTGACAACAATGAGCATATAATGAATCAATATGGGAATGCCAATAAACTTTTAAAGAGCAGAAACATTTCTGTTTTTTTTTTTTTTTTTTAACTTATTATTATTATTCATGCATAGATAAATCAATATTGTCTAAATGTAAATAACTTGGATGATTTACAAAATAATAATTTTTATTTTATTTCTATGAAATAAGTTTTCACATAGACATACCATCCTCTAACCAGAAAAGTGACGACTCAAATATACAGTATTTGAAAAAAATATACAAAGTTCATATTGAAATAGTATAAAGCTTCTTTTAAATTTCAGATTTATGACCATAAATATTTATCTAAATTTAAATTAACTTACTAAAATTTAATAAAAGTGACTTAACACTATTTCCATATAGTTTATTTTTCTAAAATACTGCATTTTTGAGATGCCACTAGTCCAGCAGGAGTGCAGAATGATGAATTGTATTTGAACCTATGATTTTTTTTTTAGTTATACAGAAAATTGATTTGCAAATTTAAACTTTTAATAAATAACAGTTTAAATAGTGTTGAAGAAGGAGAACTGATTGGGGAATGTTGAACATTCTCAAAAGGTGGAATCAGTATTTTAGTGAATTGCTGAAAAAAAAACTATTGAAAAATTATCTGAAGAGAGTACTGACCTAAATAAATTCCGGGGTGGAGCAGAAGAAGTAGAAGCTCCAGAAAATAAAGAAATAATTTATATAATTATGTCAATGAAGAATTATAAGTCACCAGGTCTCGACGAGATTACTCCAGAGATGTAAAAATATAGTGGAAGTGATCTGGGAGGAAATATATGTCTTAATTTGGGAGATATGGTTGGAAGAAAAATAACTGAAGATTGGACAAGAACAGCAATTTGTCCAATCACAAGCCAGGAGACAAGCTAGGATGTGAAAACTACAGATGAATGGCTCTATTGAGTACAACCTATAAAATATTGGCAGTACTCCTACTTAAAAGACTGACAGATTTTACTGACAGAATCATATAAGAATATTAGGGAAGCTTTAAGCCTGGAAGATCAACAATTGACCAGATATTCCCTTTGAGACAGGAGATGAAAAAATGTTATGAATTTAACATAGAAAAGCACCTTCTATTTATAGACTTCCAACAGGCATACAACAATGTAGACAGAGAGAGACTTTTGAAATCTATGATAGATGTAGGTATTCCCAACAAACTGGTCAGACTACCAAAAATGATGCTGATGAAGATTACCTTTGGAGTGAAACTTGCAAATTCGCTATCCGCAGAATTTGAGGTGGATAATGGATTGAGATAGAGAGGTCCTTTATCTCCCCCTCATTTTAATCTAGACCTAGAAGTGGCTAATCATGTTATTCAAATAAATCCAGGAAGAAGTATCTACAATCATCTGTCTCAATATCTGGTATATGCCAATTAAGTAGCCATTACCTCAAGAACTCAAGCAGCATTATCAGAAACTTTCCAGGAATTTGTAGAGGCAGTGGCTAAACTGGGCCTTAGAGTTAATGGAAATAAGACGTTGTTCATGAAAAGTTCAAAAAGGGAAAAGGACGTGATAAGGAAAGCTTTAAAGGCTCACAACTTTAGATCTTTTGAACAGTTCAAATACCATGGAAGCCTGGTCACATGCAATAACAAAATAGAGAGTGAAATAAAGGCTAGGATAGCAGCAGGAAATAGTTGCTATTTCTCACTTCAAAGAGACTTGAAATTTAGATCACTCTAAAATAATCAAAATCCTCATCTACAAAACGATAGTAAGGCCAGTGGTTGGGTGTGAGACTTGGACCTGAACCAAAAACTTAGAAAGCATGCTCAACTATAAGCGACAGAAAAGTATTGAGAAGAATTTCTGAGAATGGAATTTGGAGAAGAAGAAATAATGAGGAGCAGCGGGAACTTTATGGAGAACCTGATATTGTGGCATTGATAAAAAGAGCTAGGATAAGATGGTTAAGCCATGTGGAAAGAATGCTCGACCAAAAAATGCCAAAGATGCCGTTAGAGAAGCCGGATACCAAAAGTAGTAGAGGAGGCCCTCGGATCAGATAGCTGGAGGATGAGGAGGACGATCTGAGGCGGTTGGGCATTCGAAGATGGAGGAAAGTAGATCAAGACCATGGAGATTAGTTGGCTGGAGTGGAAGAGGCCAAGGTTCTTGCAGGACCATAGCACCATTATAATAATAATAATAATTAAATAGTGTACATTGATGATAAGGAAGCACTTTAATTTAATTAAATATAAAATATTTTGAATAGAGGCTAATGTTTTGGTTTCATTAATGATTTTGAAAAAACTTCAAAAAGGAGTTTCTCAATTTGACTTTTTTTTAAATAAATATTTATATGTTTTCTTGAAATTGTGCATAATAAATGAAAAATAAAGATATAAAATAGTAAATAATAATTGTAGGAGGTTACAAGTTGCTATTATCAAATTGTCATTTTATATTAAAAAACTAAAATGAGTGATTAATGATTTTCAATTAACGTATTGTTTATAATAAGACATTATTATGCATAATTTTTTAAAATAAAATAATCAAGTTTATTTTTCTAATGTTATGTTAATTTTACTATATTATCTTTCACACAATTTATTTTTTTTTAAATCAACTCTTATTTGCTTTCTTAAACTTAATAGGTCAATAACTACAGTTTCAATGGCCACTTTATCTGAAATAATTACATATGCATTATCAGCTTTAAATATATTTATTACTTCAAAATAACACTGTAAATATTTATTCTATAATTCTTTTTGTTGAGAAATTGACAAAAATTTACTATTACATTGTTACTTTTTCTATTACAATATTTGTCAGTTGTTAGTTAAAATTGATTTGTTTGCATTTTATTTTCTAAAATACACAGTGCTTTTTTCCAACAGCATTAATGGTTTTCTTTTACTATCTATTTCCCACTGACCAATTAAGTTTAGGAAAGAAAATATGGGTTTGACCCTTAGTAAATAAATTATTTAAAAAGTAATATAGAATTTTTTTTTTTTTTTATTGAAAATACTTTATTTAGAATACATGTTATAGAGGAAGCGTCATGAAATACTCACTCTGTGATTGTTGTGACATTCTCCTTTCCTGAATGATGGCTACATCCTCTCTTGTCATAGTCCTAAACAAATAAAGATAATAAATATCTCATATTGAAACAAATATTATCTAAATTACATAAACAAAAAGTTGGATAAAGGCAAGCTAAGATACTCATATGATAGTAACATTCTGATACGTTCGTTTAGTATGCAAGTTACCTTGTACAAGTAGGGAAAAAGCAATTCAAACACAATGGCACAATGAAACATGGGAACACATTTTTACCTTGGGAATGTTACAAATACATAACAATTTAAAAAATAAAAAATATGTGTATGTGTATACCTTATTTTCAATATCATTTTGAAGCTGACAAATTGCTTACATGAGCTAACAAATTATAGCAAAAAAAGTATTTTCATAATTAGTTTTCCTTAAAATAGAATTAAAAAAATAGTCAAAACTATTTGACCATATATCAAACAAAACACAAATAAATATCATATGGATTTAATTCTTAATTATCTCTTAAAATTATTTTTTTTCTAAAAAGAAATTATGGTTTGTTCAGAATTAAAGAAATGCAAATTGAAAGAAAACAAACACTTCAAAAAAATATAAACATCATCATGCACAATTCATAAATAACACATGTGCTTATAAATAACTGAATATATTTCAATAAATTACACTGTCAAAGTTGTTTATTAAGTTTAATGATCTTTGGTACAACAAAAATATGAAGAGTAGATGTATCTTTATTATATATATTATGCTTTACTATAGTAATATCACTTTTTTTATCATATAATCATGTGAAACATTGATCATGTATGCATAAGAGCATATAAATTAAACTAAATTGAATCGATTATTTCGGAAACATCATAAATGCAATTTTAAACAGTTTTGAATTGATTTGTTCTTGATACATTATTCATACACATGTCTTTCAGTGCAAGAAAATTTATTATATAAATAGATGAAAAATTGGTTCTTTATGCAATATATTTATGACTTTTATCAATGGAAATTTCAGTATAAAATATTTTTTTTTATGTTTTCAAAATTTTGAAAATGTCACATGTGTTGTATTTGAAAAAAACAATTCAGTTGAAGTAATTATCTCCAAATTAAATATTAACATAGAAAATGTTGAAGAGAAGTTTTGAATCTTCTCTTGATGTAGATGAGCCACACAGTTTAACAGAATAATAAAGATATTAATTTAAGATGTTTGAGATTATTGGCCTTAACGTAGAAAATCAATTTAGATTATAAGATTAAACAAATCACAAAAATTAAAATATAGCCTGAACTAAGATATAAATGACAGTATAGAATGTTTAATAAAATAACAGCAACCCAACTACCTACACATCTAAATCCATTGTTAGTCACTGAAAACCCAGAACCAAACTAAAGGAAGTACCGAACAATTGTCAGTTCAGTAATGGATTTACACGCTATTGGGCAATGTAAAACATTCTGATGCTCAGTACTTTAAGTGTTTGTTTTTTGTTTTTTTTTAACTAAGATTATTTAATACAGAAATTATATAACAAAGGAAATTCTGATAATTAATAAAAGAAAAATTATTAATTATTATTATTTATTACTGAAAGTTATATCAGATGAGAATACAAATAATTTTCACGTACAAAAGTTATTTAAATATGCAAGGAGTTTCAAGTTAAATAAATACATTTTAACCCGTAAACCAGGGAATAAAATTTTGTTCAACTCGTTTCACAATGGAGACTTTTTCTTTATAATTATAAGTAATATCATAACACCTCAAGTAATAAAAGAAAATAATTTTTAACTTATTAATTTTATTTATTTTGACAAAATATTTTATAATATATTATAAAAGAAAGAAAGAAAAAGATATTTTGTCATACCCAGTTAACAGGTTAAACTAGCATAAAATTAAAATGAATATCCGATTAAGATTTAAGGTTAATAAATTGCATAAAATATTAATAAATAGAAACTAATTTTGGAAAGAAGTTAGTCAACTATTCTACATATCATGGATGATAAAAATTCAGGACGCAGTCATTATAAAGTTTTTATTAGTGCCGACGTTTCAACCCAAACATGTGGGTCATCATCCGGGCCTATTTCGAGCACTGAAGGTATTCAAGTACTGGGTATTCGAGTACTAAAAATAATAAAGTAACAGAAAATCTAAATTAAATGTTTCAACAAATATTTCCAGAAGTGTCATTAATGTTGAGCATCAAACAATTACTGAGCACCATGCTAAGTGATTGTAGGAGAAATCTAAACAGAGAACAACAGTAACACAAGAGAAGGGAAGGTGTTAAAAGAGTTTCATTTTCAAGTACCATAAGTAATTTTCCTATCAATTAAATTAATCAATTAAATTCAAATGCTGATGGCTTATGGAAAAAAAACAAAAACAATATGATGGAAGATTAATTACACGATACATAATGGAAAAGAATATAAAACATATGACCCAAGTATGGGACATAAAGAAAAGAACCAATAATAAGATCATGACTGGCATATATAATACAAAACTCAATTCATAATAGATGGATGCTAATATTATAACTAACAACTAAAAAGTATCAGGAAGGTGCTAAAATAGGTCAAAACCTAAGATTAATTCTGCTATCAATTAAAGAGATAGAGAGTAATGTGTATTTTTTCATAAGAGAGGTAGGTGCAATATAAAACCTTTTTCCGGTGGGTCCAAGTAAAAAGGGGTTTACTTGAAAAACGGAACCAGTTGAGACTGATTCCAAGTAGCTCAAATTTATAATACTTTAAATAAATAATTATAACTGCATGATATTAAATAAGTTTTAAATCTATTTCAATATGTATTTGGTTTTAGGCCTGATATTTCTAAGCACACAGCAATGATTTGTGTAAACTAACATTTCTCCTAAAGTCTGTCCAACATTGCTTTGTGGTCTATGGTAACCAAAGGGATGATATTACAGATCTTTATGTTGTGGTTTATATTAAATTATTGGTAAACAAACAAATCATGATAAAAAAACTTATTTTCCTCATTCATATTTTTTTTACACCTAAAATTCAGCCAGCACTAAAAAACTGGTGATTAGGGGCAAATGCTCAGTCTACAACAATGTAAATCTGGGTCTATAAGTCAGCAATAGCCTTCTTCAATAAAATAAAATAAAAAATCTTACTGAAAATAGGAATCTTTATTCTAAAGTTTTGTTCTTAAAACTTTAACTCCTAAAATAATATCAACAACAGCAATAGCAAGATCAATTAGTATACTAAATTTATTTAAAACATAACACTACTCATAGACATCAATATCACCCTGTACCACTATATCTCATGGAGGGTACTTGGGTTAAGTACTTCGTAAGAATGTACTGTTTCAAAATATAATCAATATATAACCCAATCTGGAGTCGTCAGTTGATAACAATATCATCGGTTAATTACAAAGAGTCACTTAGTACAATTTTGAGAGAGCTGATTTTTTATGGGCATTTTTTTGTGAATTTCAACCCTATTAATCGATTTAGTGCACAAAAATGATAGACCATTTTATATAACAAATATAGTTATAACAAGCAGAAATAATACATATTATTTGTATATAGCAGTTATCATGTAACTGCTGTGGACCTGTACGAAAATCTAATTAATTGATTAAGACAATTATATAAGTTTACAAACTTACCTGGAATGTTGATTAGTATTAATAGTAATTGGCATGTTTATGTCAATTCTAGGTTGTTCTGCAGGAGTAACTTGGTGGTATATTGTAGGCCTCTGAATCATCTGACTATCAAGGTAAAACAAAAAAAAAAATGAAAATAAATAAATCTAAATACAAAAAGAAAATGAAAAAAAGAAAACAAGCAGGACTCAAGATAAGTAATATAAAATAAAAGTATAACTAACCGTAACTAAAAAAACATAAATTCAACATGCCTCATTCTGAAATACTTTTTTCATTATTTAATTTCAAGGTTGACAATAAAAAACAAAAACACCTTCATTAAAAAATCATTATATACAACAGTACCCACTCAAGGATTTTTTATTTATTTCTTTTTGTTTTCTAAAGCAGATGCAGATGTAATGATTTTTCCATCTATTGTTAAGGATTTTAAAGATAATAACCAGATAGTTGTGTTACTAATACTAAATTATCATTACTAAATAATTCCATTTGTAATAACTTTCTCACATAGATATCTGAATTTTCATTAATAAAAATGACACAAATACATATACAAATAAACAATGCACAATAACTTTACTGAATAATTTGTTCTTCTATTATAGAAATTCATCCTTCAACTCAGTTTCAAGTTTATTATATCACTTCAAGAAGCTTTCAGTGCTTTGCACCGTATTTAATTATTCTAATATTTACCCATCCACTTGTATGTCGTTTTTCTTTCAGAATTTATTTCTCTTTCCAATCATTGATTGTTGAACTTCTTTTAAAAATCCATCGTAATACTGGGTCGTACTCTCAATATGAATATGACCTGCTATGGCTGAAAAAGGTCTTCAACAATAGATTTTAAAAAACAGTACGACAATCAATGAGTGGAAAGCGAAAAAAAATTCTGAAAAATGAAAAAATGACATCCAAGTGGATGGAGATAGATGAGAAGAATAGATGAACATGATGCTTAGCACTGAAAGCTTCTCAGAGAGATATAATAAACTTACAATTGATTTGAAGGACAGTTTTCCCTAATTGAAGAATAAATTATGGATTGTTTGATTATTTTATTAGCTCTCTTAATTATTGCTTTGAGATGTTTATCATTTTATCTTAATTAGTTTTAAAGATAATAAAGAATAAGTCGTAAAAAGAGATGTAATTTCTCAAATTATAAATAGTATGAAAATAGCTTCACCCAAATAAAATCAATTTTATTTAAATGAATATTTAATTCAACTAATAATTACCAATTTCCACATGGTAAATTAGACAAAATTTTCTTTGAAAATGAGTATTATTCGTGTTTGGTAAAAATATAGAAACATAAGAGTGGGATTTAAAATGGCTAAATAATGATAAGTTCTGTCTTCCATAAAATCATGAATTATTTACATTTTTCACTTTGCTACCTATACTAGGTAAGGAAATTATTGCAATCGGGTCAAATTTTCGATATGCGGTTTCCGATGGATCTATAAGATTCAGAGTCCCCTGAGTCCGAAAAACACATTTTTAGCCATTGGTCTGTCTGTCTGTTCCAAGATTTACTGGGGAACTACTGAACCGATTTTATTGCTTCTTTTTTAATTTTTGTAGGGTTTTGACTACTGGTGCCTGTGACCGAAATTGGGTGCTCCATTTGCTATTGCTGCTGCGCAATAAATGAAAAACACGGTGTTTTGCAAACTGTAGCACGAAAACGGCTCTAACGATTTTGATGAAACTTTCCTATAATGTTTTTTCAATTTTCGTATATGAACTAAATTCCTGAGAAAATTCAGGGAAAAAATGTATAAAGAAAAGAAAAATGTTTTGGGTCCTAACTCCCTAAGTATATATTATATGGTAAAATTTATAATATAACTTTTGAAAAGTAATTAAGATACCAACAAAAGAAAACAAAAAAATCATCGGAATCGAACCAGTATTAGCGACAATCCAGCTTATTCTATTTTCTAAACATGTTTTAATTTATAACTTTCCTACCTATTCTAGGTAAGGTAAGTATTGCGATCAGTCCGTATTCTGGTGTCAGAAAGGTGTGAATGAGAGAAAAAAGATGACTAAGTGAAAGTATGAAAATCTGTTGTCCGCATCACACAAGCTTCACTATTTCTTCTAGTTTCAACAGAAATTATCGTTTGACAAGTTTAAGCTATGGCAAAAAGTTTTTGATCAGCAATATTAGAGCATATTGAAATTTTAACACTGATCTACCTTAAGCTGGTTCACATTGCTTTAGTTTATCAAATAAATCGTACTCAAATCTTTTCTTTAATCAATTTCCAGGAAAATAAATCTAATTCAATTTTTTTTGGTTTCTTGATGGACATATGTAAAGATATAAAAGCTTTTCTGGAATAGGTAGGAAAGTCGTGTGAGTGGACACACTAGATTTTTTTTTCTATCAGCCCCTTACTAAACTACAAATTCCCACCTTTGGAAAAACTCCCTTTTTTAATAAGCTTTAAGTTTATATTAATTGAGTTGAGTTTAGTTTCAGTAAGTGCCAAAATTCACAACCAGTTTTGTAAAAAAATTATATCATGTTGAATTCTGTCTCCTCGTAGAGCCAGTATTTTCAACAACAATAATAATTAAAATGACTTATTATCTGTTACTCAAAGAAATGTTTCTAAAAGTGAGGAATTTGTAATCCAGCAATAGACCCAGAAAAACAAAATTGCTAACAATCCATGATTTTATGGAAAACAAAAATTAACATTATTCAACCACGTAAAAACCCCTTTCAAATGGGCTAAATTCATTAAAAAAATTTAACTTTCAAGTCAAAAGGTTTATGATATTAAGGTACCAATTTATCTATTTATATATTTTTTTTTTTATAATTTATTGGCAAATTGAATTTATATGAGTTGATTAAAGCTATTTTAATAATATCTAAAATTCTAAAAATGATGTCCTGATGTCAGATTTCTTTTAAGTTTTGGTCTGAAAAAAGTTAGTTAAAAAACAGGTTCTGGTGTTAGTTATAATTGTAAACATTACACTGCTTCCAGAAAACAATGATGTATCAAATATTTGAGATGGGTGGGTACTGCAATGATAGTTTTCATATGAATAAACTTGTTCATAAAATCTAATTTTTCACACAGTAAACAGAAGGTTTTTGATTCCATAGATTGTAAACCAAAATCAAAACAAATAGATGTCCCAATCTGTTGTTAAGTTCCAATGTTCTCAGATAAAAAATGGGTTGAAGATTAATTTTCAAATAATTTTTATTCTAAAATAATTTCTATAAAAGTTATCAATTTAAAAAAAAATGAAACAGAATTTGTAATAATTTAGTTTCTAATGAACTGTTTTTAATTTTTTAAAAATACGAATTTTTTTGATGCATTTTATTTAAGAATCCTACCTGTTTAAATTCTGCTCTTTTATTATCGATGATTATTAGGCCGCAAATTTAGTTTTAGTAATAATTATATTAAAACTATTATGATTCATTTGTCTAATACTACTTTAACTATATATTTATAGTTAATAAGAATGATTTTGTAAAATTATTTTATCAAAATAAGACAGACCCATAAAAATATGTAATGGACATAACAAAACTTGTAAAACAAAAACACAGAAAGTTATTTTATAGAATTTTAGACCCAATTAGAAATATTAGGCTCAATATTCTAAATTATAAAAGATACTAAAGTTTTTAAAATATTTTTAATTTAAAGAAATGTAAAATACAAAGTTATTTCTATAATTTTAAGTATTTTTTTCGTTATCTTAAATTAACATTCACTTACAAAGACAAGGGATAGGAGATTAATATATTTCCTTTTTTTTAAATGATAAAAATGTGATGAAATTTGTAACTCTATACTAGAGAGAGGCATGCTTCCAATTCAATTTATTGGTTTAAAAAAGTGGTATATTTACACAAGGACAAAAATTTAGGATAAGAATATTTAGCATGTAACAGGAAACTAGTTATAGGAGACACTATCTACTCATTCAAGACACCAAAATTTAATAATGACAGATAATAACAAAAAATTATGTTTTTTTTTAATTTTCGTACTGCAACAAAGATATGGACATTTTGATAATGACTGATAAATTTAAAAACAAAAAAATACAGGTGATAAAACAGACAGAAAACTTACCCAATAAATTTTTTTGGCAGCTATATACGAACACATAACCAATCATGAAGACGAATGAAAGGTAAATGCTTAAAAAGGTTTAAATAGCCAGCATTAATTGAAACAATTAGTTGAGCCTTGAAACCTTGATAACTGGAATTGGTAGGAAAACATTACCAACAAGACAAAATTTATCATTTAAATGCTAAAAGAAATATATAACTTGGAAAAATCAATATTATTTAAATATTTCATAAAAGTAAAAAAAAAAAAATATATTCGTCAATCCATCTCCTTATATAGGTGTCTTAAAATTATGCATGAAAAATAGTTTACACTCACCATGAACAAGACTGAACCCATATCGATCACGAAAAATAAAACAATAATTAATGAACCACTAATGGTATTTGTTATTACCTGTAACCCATATCCTCCTCATACTGTCCATTGGCCTGTTGATAGTGTGACTGAGGCTGCGGCGTGATGGTAGTAGGAGCTGGCCTGGGAAGGGAGTTGCTGTTTAGCACCTGCAAATGAATGACATCATCAGTCATGGGGGTCAAAAAGGATCCTAAATCATGACTCAGTCACTATTTTAAAAATTTTACTTAGTGAGCTATTTCTCTAAAATAAGTGATTATTATACATCAGTGTTAGGAAAAAACATAATAAGAAAGAAAAAAGTATTTGTACAATGAGTAAGTTTTTCCTCAAAACATTATTATCTTCATTACTCCATTTTCTTATTAATGTAGTGTATTTCATTTAAAAAAGAAAACATTAGGGAAAAAAACTGAATCCAAGATAAATATCATTGCAATTCTTTTGGGATCTTTTTTTTTGGTTTATTAATTTTATGTTTATGTACATTCCATTAATTAGTATAAAAGAAATAGATACCTTAAAAATTAAAAATAACTTATCTTCAGCAAAATTAAAAAGGAACAACGAAATCACTAAAAGAATAAATGGTTTAATTTTTCATGAAAAAAAAATTTTCAAACTAATTTGCTTTGGAGAAATAAATTGAAATTTGAATCCCATGAAAGAAGGAAGATGTCTACCAATTTAAAAAAAAATGATTTCTTTATTTTCAGGGCCATATTTGAAAACAATTTGTGTTTTTAAAAGACATGAAAATATTATTTATATACATAAAATAATTAAATTCTTTTCCTTATTTTAAAAGATAACGAAGTAATAAATGATCTTTTTATATGAAATTTCAAATTAATTGCCACTGCATATAATTTATTTCAAATTAATTGCCACTGCATATAATTTAATTCGGCAAAAGAAAATATGTTAGGCTCCTGAATAATTTTTTTTTAAACCAATACTTATTAATAATCTTACATTTCTCATTATTGTTACTAATATAATTACTGAGAAAAATATAATAAATTTATAGTTTGTGAAATTTATCAGGAAAGAAGACCTAAGAGCTCTTTTAACATCATTGTTTATAGAATTGTTTATTATTATTTACAGATCATTATTTATCGATAAATCAACATATGCAATATATAAATCAATATATATAATACATTAGACTTATCATATATATAATTTTGAATGTATAACTATTAAGTAGATAGATTCATAACTCCAAATTCTATTACTTTAGATTTTTTTTTGTGATAAATCTCACTTTTCTGGGGTGTCCAGGTTGGATAGAAACCCTGAAAAAGTAATACCGTGGCACAAAATTAGAAATAAAAGTTACGAATTTCTATTGTTTTTCCTCTTAATATCAAGTCAAGTCAAGCTGAAATCATTAAAATAAGTATAATATAGTTAATCTATACAAAAAAAAAAAACTTTATATTCAGAAAATATTACTTTATATTTAGTTATCCAATATTAAACTCTAAAATAAACATCATATAATTCTAAAATTTAATTAAAAATGCTTGAGTAATTTTAAGTAGTGATGATGGTAATTATTGAACAACCTAAAATAGTTTCAAAATCAATTTTTGGATGCTAAAGATTTGTAAATTAAACGACAACTTCAAAATACTATTTTTTGCCATGATCAAACTTATTTAGTTGATGAAACAATGTTGACGAAATTGAAATGTCAAAATGTATATCAACTACCAGTCAGAAATTTATTGATTTCAGAGAGAAAAATCTTTTTAAAGGTTGAGACTACTACTATAAAATCGTCTCAAATGGGCCTTCGAAAAATGTAACACAATACGACATAAACAATGGATCAAAAAATTATTCATACACTCAGTCAAAAATATTTTAATTAATATTTTTAACATGAAATAACTATTTGTTTGTTATAACAATAAAAAACAACATTTTGCATTAATTTTAAACAAGTACAAAAATTAGGAACTCATTTAATTAACAAAAAAAATTGAAAATTTATAACATAAACTAAATATCCTTCAACACATAAAATTTGTTTTTAGAATTTTGTAGGATACCTTTTTGCATTTATCATAGCCTGTTATCTATTTGGCATTGATTCTATGAGCTCCTTGATCTCCTCAGGATCAATTTCCACTGCTAGGTGACGATTATAAATTTATTCTTTGGAAAGCATAAATATTTTCGGATTTTTAACTTCATAAGTGTCCTAATATTTTTGATGGGGTTAAGATTCGGTTATTATGGGAGTATTGGCAGCAATTTGGAAGCATTATACAGCAGTTATCATTTGATTTTTCTAATCGTTTGTTTAAGGTCACTATCTTGATAGAAAAAATAACAACTTTTCCAATATAACTAGAAACATTACTAAAATGACATTACTCAAAAATGTTGAAATTGGAATTAGTCATTCTGTCAACTGAAAGGCTTGGGGACTAAAGTTATATGGTTTATTAAACTAGATTTTTATTGACCACCGTCGATATAATAAATAGATTGTTTGTCATTTTAATGTTCTTAATGATTTTTTATCTGTAAGCTTTAAGCTTTAGCTATGTTTAAAATGCACCTCAAAAATTTTATAATAGCCCAACATTGCCAGAAAATAATTTCAATTCAAAGTAGAGGGGAAGTGAAAGATGTGTGTTGCGCACCATTTTTTTCGGATACATCGGTAATTCATCTTTTATTGAAAAACTGAACAATGCCATTTTAGAGATGAAAACTAAACACTTTCGATCCACGATTCATTTCCATAAATCATTTCATACAGAACTAAACAAGGACTGGTTTACGATATGTGAATAAAGGTTGTGGTTGTTTAAGAATACAGAGTTCTGAATATTACTCAAAAAGATAGTCCTGGGAACAAATTTACATGGTATTACAGAGACAGATTTTTAAGTATGAATAATTTTATGCATTGCAAAACTTAAATTTATATACTAATAAAACTAAATGAGATACTAATTACTTATTATCTACCTAGTCCTGTCATAAATATTGTTACAAGAAAATGTAAACAGATTTCAACAGAAATATTTATTTTTCCAAAAACTTTTTAGAAAATAAAATGTATATCTATAGAGTGTAAAACAAAAAAGAAATTACTCAAAATGTCCCCCTTATGCCTTGAAACAGGCATTTAATCTCCATGGCCAGTCATCAATAGCACCATGTAGCACTTCTTGAGGACCAGAGATTGTTTGAGGCTTTCCAAGTTAGGGTGTGCTCTGTGGCATACCATCCTCTCCAGTTCGGACCAAAGCCGATAATCTAGTGGATTGAAATGAGGGCTTCCTGAGGGCCAATCAGAGGCAGAGATGAACTATGAAATGTTCTTTTGCAGCCACAGTTGATTTGACCTGGCCTTGAGAGCTTTTTTTTTTTTTTTTCTTCTCTACCTCGCCTTTTAGGCTATACGGGATTTTCCTGGGCCGGAGGGTGAAGGCGGGGAATTTAAAATCCCCTCCGGCACCAGGATACGAACTCGTACTTTTTTAATCTTCTCAAATCTCTTATCCGGTTGCCAGGCACTCGCGGAGCAGTGCACACGCTTTAGCTCATTCGGCCACACTGCCCCCTCTGGCCTTGAGAGCTGGAGCGGAATTTTTAACTCCTTTTTCTCAAAAATGGAGCTTTGTGGTTCCATTGAATCAAATTCCCCAAACCATCACTGAGGAAGGGTGATGACCTCTTTCCACTCTTCTAATGACTTCCTAGGCTTTTTTAAAGCTGTGTGTGTACACACGATCATTTTTGTGATTAAATGTTTCTTCAATTGTAAACATTTTCTCATCGCTAAACAAAATCTTTCAATGAAGACCATTGGTGTAATGGCTGAGGAGCACTTTGCATCTACCCACTCTAATTTTTTTTTTTTTTTTTGGAGAAGTGGTCAGCCTTTGTCCTGTCATTCTTCGAAATGCACCCATCCTAAGGTCACTTACTTTTTGTTATAAGAGACATTGATCTGACAGAGATTTCCATTTCCTGAGACATGATTTTTTGTTTTCAAATGGGTTTTCTTCTGATTCAAGCAGTCATTGCTCTCACTCCATTTGCCGTTCTGACAGTGCAGGGCAGACCAGTCGAGATCTGTCACATACAAATAGGGTCTCATTATATCTATTTATACAGTGGTACACGAACATACAGCTGATACCTAAAGGTTTCAAAGTGTTGAAAATCTCTGACCTACATTTTCTAACTTTGTGTAAGGCGATCACAGCTATTCGGTTACTTTATCATCCCACTCCATGTTAACTGAGGGAAAGAAAAATACAAACTAATTGGGATTATTATCCTGACATGTTAAGAAAACAACCTGGTAGAGGTAAGGATTATCTAAATAATACCCAAAGATGTACAAAGTTCAACTTTTGTAACAGTTTTTATGGCAGAACTAAGTACAACTTATGATACTTACTATTAGCCTCTGGATACAATAAGAAATAGATGATTGTAAGCCTGACCAAATAATAAAAGCTGGTCACTTTTTTGAAGTGTTAACCTTGTCCAAAATTAGCAGTGAATAAGGACAATGTAAGATCAGCCTTGTCTAATTATACAATTAGAAATTTTCAAATAGACAAAGATGATAAGTGATATTTTTGAAGAAAAAAAAAATTGTAAACAGGTGTGTATTTTTTAAATATTTTCTCCTTCCAATCATATAAATTCAATAGATGGCTAAGAATTTCAGGTGTCAAGGGACGATTATTGCCCTATAGAAGATATATGTAATAATTGCACTCATAACCTTCATCACAATATCAGAGTAGATTCCGTAAATATACTCAACAGTTTATCAGATCTCAATTCTTAATATCCTCCAGAGAATACTGCATTTCTGTGTATCACCTGTTTGTGGACTTTAACGCTGCTTATGGCATTGTAACACGCGAATATTTTTATCAAGCTTAGATAGCTAACTGATTCGTTTATTTGAATTGCCCAAAGCACAATCCATATATATGGTACGTGTCTAAGGCAAATGTCAGAGGTGAGCTTTGCAAAGAACACCATGAGACATGGAGATGCATTGACATGTTTGCTCTTCAATATTGCATTAGATAAAGCAGAGTGGGATACATTGTTTCCAGACAATAGAAGCCCGGTGTTTAATAGAATGGTTCAAATTCTTGGTTACATTTACAATCGAGATATTGTAACAAGACCCTAGACTGAAGTTTATAAAGCCTTCCTTGGTCAAGAAGCAACTTCTAAACGACTAAAACTGTGTGTCAATGCAACAGAAACAAAGTACATGACCTCCAAGTTTGACACCTAGGCAAATACCCTCCAATTTGACTCATATAAGTTTGAACAAGTGGATGAATTTGTTTACCTGAGTTCCCTGATAACTACAGGCAATGATAACTGAAACGAAATTAAGAGGAGAAAAGTTATCGCGCATTAAAGTTTGACACCTAGGAAAATACCCTCCAATTTGACTCATATAAGTTTGAACAAGTGGATGAATTTGTTTACCTGAGTTCCCTGATAACTACAGGCAATGATAACTGAAACGAAATTAAGAGGAGAAAAGTTATCGCTAAGCAATGTTACTTTGGCCTAGGAAGGTATATAGAAAGCAAATATCTGGGTAGGAAAAAAAAATTATGGCTATATAAGATGTTGAACAGATCAGTTCTGATATACAAACCTTTAAATGTGTTACTTATCATCCCCATCCACTTTACCCCTCAAGTGTATAATTACATTAAACGATAAAAATCTGATTATATTACTGCAATCCAGTAAGTCAAAATTGTATATATAGGATAAAGAGAGAAAAGTAATTCTGTAGAAATAATCAACCTTATGAAGAAAATTTAAAAATTTGGTTTTCAAATAATAAAATAAAATTATAAGAAATCTAAATTGTTAAATAATTAACTTTTCAGATGCATCACTTACATCTAAAGCGTGGGTCATGGCTCTTGCAAAACCATCAGCATCTTCACGACTACTGAAGTTCAATCCATATACTTGTTTCTGGTCCCTCCATTGATGAAAGGTGTTAGTGGCCTGATTATATTTAAGTCCCTTTACAATGATGCAGTTAATCACAACCTATGTACAAAAAATAAATATTTAACTTTATATACATTCCTAAGTCCAATAAAAACTAGAATTTTCAATCTACAGGATAAGAGATATTACAAATATTTTTTTTTTAATTTATTAAGATTTTATAGGATGTAGAGGCAAATTACAGTTATTTATTTATTTATTTTTTTTGTTACACTACAACAATGTACAATACAAACAAATTAATAGTTGACTGCCGTGAATATAATGAAAAGAAGTTGGTTGAGGTGAGCAGTTATAAGTAAAAAAGTAAATATAAATAAATGTAATTTATAAATTTTTACTATTCCTCTTCAAAAAATAAAATTATTTCAAAAATTTGGAAAAAAAAATTGGAAAACAAATGATGACTTTGTTTTCAATTAAATGAACCCACAATCATTTACATAATATCTGTACCCCGGAGGTGAAACATCATGTTCATTTTTCTATATTTCGAGTGGAGCCAATCATCCATAACTTTGAGCTATTAAAACTTGTTTCTTAATTACTAAATTATTTAATATAAAAATGGACATGATATCCTTTACATCCGGGCACAGATATGTGTATTGTGGCATAAAAAAAAATAAATAATTAAGAAATATCCTACAATTCTTTTGTGAAGTTTCTCAAAAATCTTTAAATAACTTATATAATAATTATAATATAACTTAAAATGACAACCAGACCTCAATACTTTCTCAGGTTAACAGTTCATAATATATGATATCATAGTGTACTATATATAACAATTCATATATTAAATTTATACTCTGACATGAAACCAACTCCCATTTACATAGACTCCCATTAAATAGCAATTAGTAATTACTTCAAAATGTCAACGAGCCAAACCATCATGGGTAATTGACATAATAGATCAAATGATGATTAGAGAGGTGTAAACATTCTTTAACATCTCAATGAATATGACTAATTAGCTAAAACCAATGTTGCCTCTTAAGTTTTTAATTTATAAAAAAGCAGAAACTTACTTAAATTTCCTTTCCTTTCTTTCTTCTTTCAGATAAAAAAAAATAAGAGAAATAAATACATCAAGATAGCTAAAATACTATATTCAGCTAATCACTAGACACTATATTGGTATTAGAAATAGATACAACTCAAATTACAAGCTAATATGACAATGATTGAATAAAGGAACCTGGTCAAATAACTAATATTGATTGCATGCCAGAAGATTTGAAGTAGATAGATTTAATAATCAAAATGATAAAATTATTAAACATGATATTCAAATGTTTTTGAGAAAAAAGCCACAATGTTTATAGCATTAACACAATTTTATTCATTCATTATAATACAGTTAAAGTTTATTTTTAAATTAATACAATTTATAGTATTATTGTTATTATAATTAAATGATAACATATGCTTTGTACCTCATGATCATTTAATTTCCTAGCGACTACCCTAAATGAGTTTGTGGTGATGTTTTGAAAAATATGCACTTTTGAAAGGCCTGACGATGAACCACTAGGTATCCATTTCTTGTTAGTGTCATCGTATACCATCACCGAGGCCCTGGCAGAAGCTATGCTCTGCTCACTGAAAAAGAAAATTAAAAAATTATAAATATGAAGATATTCCACGATATTGAGAAAATCAAAGAATTAATAAACTTATATATGGCTATTAATATTTTTTAACAACTAGCAACAATTGCCTTTGACTCTGAAAACTTCTCATGAAACGATCTAACTTCATTATTGATTTGGATTTTCAAATTATAACTAAAATAGAATTCATATTATAACAATAAAAAGAAAATTGTCCATAAAATCTGTAGCCCAATGCAAGTGGTCTTCTTGTGTTTCTTGGATGCCTTCCTCTACCAGAAAAAAAGGACCAATTTCGCCTTAGTTCTTAGGTGAAACTTATCCTTCCAATATTTCTCAAACTCATACTTTCACGTACTAATCAGAGTATAATTATACTTACAATAAATGAATAAATAATCCTTAAAAGATTTTCTTTTCTTTTCATTAATATATCTATCCCACATCAAATATCTTAATCGCCTTATTGCGTCACATTGGTATCACACACATTATTTACACCACTGTACACTAATCATTTTCTGGTCTGGATTTGAACCTTGCACTTATTTAAAACCTACATTAAAATTATGTTTTATCAGTCATGAACCTAACTCGGAGTTCGAAGACCCTTCAGTAATACGTCAAGATCATCTGGTAAGATGGAGAAGCTGACCAAATCAGTTCTATTAAACACAATTGCTTAAAAAACAGTACTTCCTTATCATATCCAAGATCCTTCACTAAATTGAGGGGAGAGTAAGTCTCCCATGAATAATGAATATCAGTAATGAAGAAATTTAAAATTAGAAGTTTTAAGTAGTTAGAACAGTGAAAACGGAAAACTTTATCATCATATTCCCTAGGTATAAAAACTATGGTAACTATAACTAGGTATATTCAAACAAAAATAAAAGTTAAAATGAAGAAGCTGATAAAGAATTAATGGGAAAGAGAAGAATTCTTAACAATATACATAGACTCAGCTGATTGACTACAATAATCTCACCTAAAAGATATTAATTCGATGGCCATAGGAAATAAGTAAATCCAGAAGTCACACGGGAGATGCTGATAACATGCAACTGTTTAGCACCATTTTACTCTTTGACCGTCAAAATTAAGTATGACTTAATTTATGCAGCTTAACTGCCAAAAGAATGCTTATAAAAACGAGCCTTTATATTTATACAAGAAATGAAAAAAGTGGTGAAATGAAAATTTCAACTCGCGTTTTATATTTTATAAATCAAAAAGAAATTTGGTTCCCTGCCTGTTTATAGTCAAATCCTTGTGAGGAAATAAATTTAATACGGTTAATCCAAATTTAATAAAATTTTCAGAGATTTTACAAATTGGTACTTAAAAGGTGTGATGTCATTTTTATCAAATTCCTTTCAATACTATTGATTAAGCATGTGCAAATGTATACTTAAAAAAAATCATCTCCCATATTTCATTTTCGAATAATATTTTCATGTCCATTTTTAATACTAATTCAAATAATCTGACAATTAGATGTAGTTTTTAGAAACTTCAATTTGGTATAATAAGCTTAGTATATTTTTACGTTTGATAAAATTAAACATTTGTGCTGAAAAAACAATTGTGCCAACTATTTATTAATATTAACAATATATAAGCAAATGGTTATTTAAACAACCTTTTGCTCTTCAGAAATGAGGCAAGCATATATAGAAAACAACAATTCCAGGAGTAGAAGATTCAGAGAAGCTGGAATTCAATGGATTCCACGAACTCCATTAATTTTAACTCTCCAAGAACATGGATCAATCCAGAATATTACTACAAAATCAACTTTTCCTTGTCCTAAAAACAATTTAGATTTTATTAACTAACAATCGTTAATTTATATATTAAAAACAATGGGAGCTGATATAATATATAACAGAATAAAACTAAATGTATGTAGTATTTCTTCTATGCGATACCGCTTAATTCACAAATGAAAAGTATTGTAAATATAAAAGCCATTTTCTTTAGCGATTGCTTCGAGGGCTTTCTTTCCCTTAGACGATTCTGATTTAGATGATAAGAAATAGATCGAATTTTTTTCTACCACTAGCGAAAACCTCAGGAAAAAATACACCGAGAAGAATGGAATCATATCTTTTTTTAAATAAGAAAAAATGGTATCAAGTATTGTAGGCTTTTAAGAGTGGTGTTAATTAACCACGATCGATCCATTTATAGCAAAAGAAAAAAAAAATCGACAAAAGAAGCAATGGACAGTAAAAAGGAAGCTGTTGCGATGAGTGGAGTTCACAAGAAAACAAAGGAAAGCAGGAAAGAGAGAAGGGGACGATTGTAATAAAAGTAGGAACTGGTGGAATACAATCAGATCTCTTAGCAGCAAAATGGAGGATAGTTACGCCTTAGAATAAATATTTCTAAGAGAGGAGGTTCCAAACTCCGGCCCGCGAAATCTTTGATTGTACGGTAAAATTTGATAAACTATTTAATAATAATAATAAAAGGCTTAGCGAACCCGAAGGTTTAATGCCGACACCACACGCTTGTTACTCACCTCCCTCCACCATTCGCCGTCCAAACCCAGTCCCTTCAGATCGGCTTTAATGCAATCTTCCCACCTTCGCTTCTGTCTACCCCTCGGACGTTTACCATTAGGTACAGCAAATATTAACCTTTTAGGAATTCTCTCGTTACTAAGCCCAACAACTTTACATGTCCATTTGATTCTCCGCGATGAAATTACCTCAATTATATTACCCGGTTACAGCTCACGCAATTCGGCGTTGTGTAACCTTCTGAACTCTCCGGTTAACTCATCCTTCTTCGGTCCGAATATTCTACGCAATACTTTATTTTCAAAAACCTTAAGACGCTGCTCATCCCTTAATGTAAGAGGCCAAGTTTCGCATCCATAAAGAACTGTAGGCAAGATAATTGTTTTATAGATTCTAATTTTTAAGTTCCGGGACAAGAGGCTCGAACTAAGTAGTTTTGACACAGAAAAATAACAAGCATTTCCCGCTTTCAGTCTAACCTTAGTCTCTTCTTCAATTTCGTTTTTTCTAGTTATCGTAGAACTAGAATGTGAGAAAAGTTATTCTTTTTTTGACTTGTGCATAAGGGTTCAGACAAGGAGTATAATAAGGTATAAAAAACAAAACAAATTTCACGAAGAAATAACGAATCCCGATTCGAGAAATATGATTGATCTATATTAAGACTGTTAGTACTCAGTGGACGCGGAATTTGATGCTCTATAACCTTTATTCTATGAGTTATTCTCTTAGAGAACTCATTCCCAAGCTGCAGCGCCGTTTATAGGAAATTGTCTGTTTTTGACAAAGTTGGTAAGTATCGGCGTTTGTTGACCGTGGTTAACGAACATACCACTTGAACAAATTATTAAGTTAAGGTACTTGTTCGACGCCCAATTTAACTTTATTTAATTTATGAAAGCAAAGGTTTTTCGCTTTGTTGCACCGTTTAGGAGCTATAAGGGGAAAAAAAAATTGAAATAATCTGGCTCTTTTTTGCTATATTAAGTTCTTGGTGGCCCGGGTCAGCAATTTTGTTTTTTACATTTCTCAACCAATATATTAAAAATAAAACAATAAAAACTGTTATGGTAATCGTCAATTAATTAGTGTCATAACAAAAACTGTTACATCAACCTGTTAAATAGATTTTTTAACATTTTTTCGAAAATAAACAAGTTTTGGAAAATGATGATCGGTCGCTGATTGGTTTGGCGGGGCTGAAGGAATCTAACAGTTACAGATTACTAATTACTAATTAACTTCAAATAATTATCATGTTTTATGAATTATTCACAAAACTGACATCTATGGAATATAACCAAATAATTCTACTAAAATAAGTTGTAAACTCAACGCTCAGAGGCACATGGGAGGATGCTGATGAAGAAGAAGAAATATTAAATAAATAAATATTTAAATATATATTAAAAAAATATATTAAATCAATAAATATTTAAATATATATTAAATAAGACGTATTATCATCAAAGTTGATATTGACCTGTAACACCTACGCTCATTCCTCCTAATGAATTTCGATATCAGGATCATAAAACCGAGAAACAAAAATTAAAATTCTTAAAAATAAGGAGCAATCTGTCCGAACTTACTTAGGAGTTAAGTAAGAGGCTTAGAAGTAACAAAGCTATTAAGCGTCCTTAACTTAACTTTACAGTTCCCATCAAGCCCCGTGAATTGAAAACATTTTAATTTGACAGCAGGGTTTACGTGGGCGACATATAATCTCTTCCATCTTAAAAGATAAAAAAAAGATAAGTACCTGGATAAAATCTTGATAAGTTACACATTAACTTTATAATGACGAAAATGTTATAAAAATAAATAAGGAAGTTTGTGTTAAGAACCTTGTTTGTAATATTTTAATACCAATTAGATTTTACGTAAACTTTTTTTAAGTAGTGTGTTTTAAAAAAAAACTCTACTATTTTAAGATTTTATATTAAAATCCTTGTTTGTGGAGATTTCCTACATATATTGCCATTGTTTTCAATTATGTAAAATTGCACGCAAACTGTTCACGCATAGATTTAAAAAAATGAAGATCACGCAGAATAGATTATCAAGTCATATATTCAGGTAAACTTATGACCGTAAATTTAGATTAAAAATATCAGAAATAACATAGACTATCAGAAATAACATAAAACTCTCAACTGAAGTTACATAAACTTTTAGAACAACATTGCACGGTATATCATTCTTAGCTACATGGATTTTTAAATTAAGTTTAAAACTGGAGAACAGCTGTTGATGTTGAATAAGGTGAAAGGTTAATTTAGTATTGTCTTCCAAAAAAAGTGTTAATTAAGTGTAAATACCTAATTTTTGTGTAACAAAAGTGTTTTATCAAGACAAGATTGCTAAGGACCAAACACCAAACAAAGATTGAGCGGATTTCACCGCCAACAATGGTGGAATCATCTCAAACTGAGGTAAGTAACATGAACTTTAAAAACAG